TTGTCTTTGTTTGCTTTGCTGTTTTGCTACTGCGTTTTACATCGTATCAGTCTAGACAGTCCTCGATGTTCGAGATTCGAATTTAATACCATAATATCCTTTCCAACGAGCGAGCCTGAATTTTGCCCGAAGGAATTCATTTTTATATCCTGTTTACAAACCACTTGAAATCGTGTGACGGAATTTACTTCTTTATAACGAGGAATTAATAGTTTTAGCGGAGTTTTATTTTTCTTTGAAGATAATCTTTCTTAAGATAACACTTCTTAAAAGTGTACAAGCTAATTTGGGGGAAAGACTACACCATTATCTTACTGGATCAAAACAAGCCACGCAAAAGCATTAAAATGACGGCGATATAATATTTGTAAAGTCACGACTTTTTTATCCTTATATATGAGTCAGTCAGTCGGCCCTACAACACACTTGTCTACGCTTCCATTGCCTACACTCGAATAGAAAATACCCCCGATACTTGGAAACGAAGCCAGAAAAAAACCTAGTATATATATATATATAAATATATATTTATAACGCATAAGGTATGTATTTAAAAGCTTTCATGAATGATGGTTATTGTTATAAATATAGTATTCGACATTATTAAGTGGCTGTAGCTCTCACTGAACGCGCTTAAATAGTTGAATTTCGAGTTTATGTCGTAAGAGTGGGAAGTGATGAAATTGTCGTACTTTAGCTGTGTATACTTAACCAGGTGTTGTGTTGCACGACTGGTTAAGTTTACTCGAAAAACTGGTAAGGCATTTCAATGTTACGGMATGCATGTCGWGCMACCATKTACGAGCTATRAGTCAGTACCGTATGTTTCCMACTCATGCAATATCCCACGYTTTACCAAACGAAGTTGTTACATACATATCAAATTAAGSTCTGAGATTTTTTTGTTGTTGTAAACTTAACGCACGAGACAGGGATCTTTTAGCAATTGAAACAGCGGTTTTGATAATTGTCTCGGAATTCAGTCTTTTTCATTTTAACAAAGAATTTATTAAAGTAAAATAGTTTACAAATACTTGGGCTATAACATCGAAACAAACACAGAAAGAAAGAAGGAAAGAAGAAAGAAACTAGAGAGAGAAGGGCGCAAGATTCACGGCCTGCCTATAAAACGCAATGTTAGTTAATTGCGAAGAATAACGGAAAAAGAAAATTTAGTTGTTTCATGCTTATAAACTGATTTTCTTTTTGGCAGTGTTGGTATCTTAATCCTCTYACACAGGCCATGTAAACTCAACTATCTCTGATTGGCTAAACAGTCATCTACGTCCCGGATATCGTAGAGGTTCAAAAATGGTATGATATTAAAGTGGCGTGTTCAAAGTACAAAGTGGYCAGAATGTCAAAACATTATTATCCTTCGTAAAATACTGGATTATTATTACTAAGCATTAGGATTACATGGTCTGTACTCTCTTGATTACATGTGCTGGCTGTGGGATTTACTTTACATCCGGTTCTTATCGTCTGTAATCAAGAGAAAATAAACTATTCATATTCTCTTGTCTGCTTAATGCTATTCTATGATAGCAGATAGCAGGTCCAATTCGGCTATTTCTTTTATTACATCTCTGGTATTTAGTTCACGGCAAACTTATCTTCATATTACATGCATTCTATCTATGCATTTTTAATTTAGCGCAATTGAAAAAATCTTAAAATAAAACAATGAAAGGCATATCGCCACATAGATAGAAATCCGCTAAATGTCTTAGATATGACAGCGAGTACGCAATGTAGCGGGGGCAGATTTGCGCTCTACAGGGTCCCTCATTTTTTTGTTTATTTTAACCCCTACCATTTATTATCAAAACCCCATCAATCGCTGTACAATCTCTACGTCATACATCTGTCTTTCCTTCCGATTTCAAAAACTGTCAGACTCTACGTTTTCCGTCGAACACAGCAGATCAGTGTTCGTACAACCAATGTAATTGTGSCTTTCGTTGGCATCTATTTTTATGCTTTGGTATTTCTCATTAATGGGCTAGCTGTTTTTCAACAGGCAACCCAGACAGGAAAAATATTCCCAAGTTTCTTAAATTCTCAGTTGCTATCCAGGGCTAGCGTCGATTTTGCGTGGAAAATCCATACATTCCAGTAAAGATCCGTGGAATTTTAAAGCGTTCATGTATTATCAAAGTTGTGCGTTCTTTACCGTTAGTACCGTTGAATATTTTGACGCTGAAAAGAGGTAATTAAACCTGAGTCTGAAATCAAGGAACACAGTGGTATTTGACGAATTCCAAAAAGCATTATTGCAAAACAGAGACTAGACTTGACACTTCAATTAGAATTTTTATATTTGAAGAGAGTCGCGCGGRGTTGTATGAATATAAAAAGGAGTGGTTGTACACCTGACATGAAGGAATAGGCCGCTATCGGTTAAGGTTGCAGGCGCCTCTATCATTGACATGCCACACTTTCCGTCGAACTAGAATGAATACACACCAAGGAGTAAGTTTTGGTTTAAGAAAGGAATCCGAAAATACCTTTTTTTGTATTTAGTTTTTGTATCCTTAGTTTCTAGTACCATGGACTGTAAAGTTTCTTATATTTTAGTTATGTAAAACGGTTCCTGAAGTTGATCAGCGTCTAATAAGACTATCGATGACGTCACAGCAGTCATTAACTGAACGAACTGACCTTATTGRGCAAGTTGAAGCTAGGGATACTAGCATCTAGACAAGATGGCAGACCACACAACATTTTTTAGGCGTGATTGTCGATTTTGATCACAGCGGATCATAAGTTGTTCATTTATTCTGACGCCACTTAAGCCCGGTTTACACTAGCGATTTTTGCGGCGATTTTTGCTGCGATTTTTTTGCGATCTTGTCCATAATAAATGATGGTAAAGAATTTACTTCTAAAGTTTTTTTCATGATACCAAGATTTTCCTAAACCAATGTCTCTCTTGAAGGATGAGACAAAATTATTCATGTTTCCGAAGATTGCCACAAAAATCGCAGCAAAAATCGCCAGTGTAAACGGGGCTTTAGTCACTTCCGGCACATTATCCAAACCACTAGCCATCCACTGAAGTAGTCTTGTATGCAGCCGCCATACAACATGCAGTCGTCATGCAACACTCACTCCTCTAAGCTAAGCGTTGTGTGACGACACTAATAGCGGATGCGTAGGAGACTATACCATTGAAGCTGTTCATTGATAATCAGTAAAAGCTGATTGTGTAAGACTGGATGATAGAAATAACGCCAGCCTTTCTATCAGACGGCCACACATACAGCTACACGCACACACGATACGTTTGGTAGGTCACCGAAGACTGAGAAAAAAWCTCTAGGTATGTGACATGCTAATCTGGAATATGAAATGATGTACCATGAACGTTAGTTCAAAAGGGTCGTAAAACACTGATGGATAATTCTTTTTGCACAGCGGGATTCCTTGCAATCAAAGCCGATTTAACTCGGSCGCTAGTCCTGTCTGACGGTTTAATTGGATTAGGTAATTACAAGGAAATTAGTAGTCTTGGGCTCTCGAAATCCAAAAAAAGGACAATTGACTTCTTGGAGGATTCATTGTTAATTTCCATGATAGAATTTCCATAATTTTCGCGCTGCACCGGGGAAACGCCCCTTTGGGCAAAGAATTGCCGCTGTATACCATATAAGCAGAAGTTACGGGAAGCATTGGTAGCGTAGCGGTTAGAGCACTCGCCTCTCACCAATGCGACCGGGGCTCGACGATCCTCGAACTCGTTATATGTGAGCAGATTTGTTTGTTGGTTCTCTCCTTTCCTCCGAGGGTTTTTCGGGATCTCCGGCTTTACTCCCCCCGCAAAAAATCGACTTCTAAATACTAATTGTAATTCAGTTGACGAAGAGCCTTCCCTGCTGGCAAAGGCTCCTTTTTTTTCTCCTTCATTTTCAAAGAGAGAAAGAAAAAAAGAATTATTTGATCTAACCTAGGCCTACGTCCATGGTTATGGACGAAAAAMCAGTGACATGCATGATACACAAAGTCTGCTGTAAGATTTTTGAGCCCACTATACTAGTATAGTGAGCATATTCTTTTACGATAACTGCTGACTATTAAGAGCCCATCTTTTTGTAATATCATCAATTACCTAGTAACGCTCACACATTCGCAACAGAAAAGGTGACGATTGGGGGCGGTCTCCTTAGCTTTTCCTCGCGAATGCCGATCCAGCAAAAGAAAAAGATAGACAGGGGATGTCTAGGGGATCCCCAGAGGACAAGGGGATGGGAGAGACACATAGATAGTAGAGAGGGCTGTATGATAGTGGGGACAAGGGGATAGACAGAGGATATTCAGGGGATACCCAGGGGACAAGGGGATGGGAGAGACACATAGAWARTAGAGGGCTGTATGATAGTGGGGACAAGGGGATAGACAGAGGATGTCTAGGGGATACCCAGGGGACAAGGGGATGGGAGAGACACATAGATAGTAGAGAGGGCTGTATAATATTAGGGACAAGGGGATAGACAGGGGATGTCTAGGGGATCCCCAGGGGACAATGGGATGGGAGAGACATATAGATAGTAGAGAGGGTTRTATGATAGTAGGGACAAGGGGATAGACAGGGGATGTATAGGGGATTTCCAGAGGACAAGGGGATGGGAGAGACACATAGATAGTAGAGAGGGGTGTATGATAGTAGGGA